CTTATCAGCATATTATATTTCAATGAATAATTCCAGACCGACTCATGAACAGTTGAGAACAACTTTTTCGGAATATAAAAACAAAACAAAATGTATATTTTATTGCTCTTTCATAATGTAAAATATCTTGTGTCGTTTACAATCATTTAATACAAACTCGCTTAGTAATTGAATACATTCTGCTTTTGTTACAGACGCCCTGTGTGAATAACATAGTGCTTGTATAGTTTCGATCAATGCATGGACGAAAAGTATAGTTCGAATATTAAATATACGGAAACTCTTATCATACTTATTGGATATCTGACATATGCATGAATCGCTTGACTTCTTATTAGTGTTCGTAACATAGTAATAGCAAATGTTTTAATTTATTCTTCTTATTCAAGATATAAGTAATAAATATCTGCCCATCAGTTTTTATTGTGTTTATTCCTAACCAATTATAATTGCTGAAGCAAAAAATAGGTTAAATTTTGTTATACCTTCTCAATTTTTAGTCTTCGACTTCCTGTTTTCCATAAAAGTTAAAGTTGTCTGACAAAACCGTAAACGCTACACATTTCCAACTGACCCACATGATGACCAGCAACGAAATATTAACCCCTGACTTCAAGTGACATAGATTATTGAATCTCTTGCATGATGTCATCTCTATAAGATACAACGTGTCATACTTCTGTGATAATGCACGAGTATTTGCACCATTTAAGAAAGCAATGTAAATTCCAAATAATATTGGTTGATTTGAAAGAGGACGGACGTTTTCTGAAAACAAACTTGAGATAAAAAAACTACATTTTGCTCAAAAGTTCTGGGCTTCACGCAACAAGTGACTTGATTGGAGATGTCTTCTAAATAGATTATTACGATGGCCATCTAGAAGTATGTTCTTGTACAAAACATCGTGGATATCCGATACCTGTCGATACACTCACTGTACTGTTTATAAGATCAGTCGTTCAGATGACAAGACAAGATGACAAGAAATATTACGACCTCAAAATAGACAACTCAGCTAACATATGTTTTGTTTGGTAGTATATTTAGGTTTTATTGTGTATCTTTTCTAAGTAAGACGGATTCTAAAACACATTTTGAATATGTGTTCTAAGTAAAACTACTGGACAGAGTGGTCGCCCTATACATTGGCTGATTCGATTTTGGTCGTAAGCAAGGTGAACATAACGTATCAACAAACATTTGCATATTTCCACAGAGGCGGCGGCAGAACATTTTCCATTGAGGGGTGAGATTTGCTCACCATCCTCACGCCGAAGCGCTACCTTACTCGGGGTCCGGGGCATGCTCCCCATTAAAAATGTTGAAATCCAAATTCTCTGAAACGCTATTTTCTGCATTTTGAGGGGTGAATTTTGTTTTACACAAAAGGTTTCAGCTTGATTATGGAGTAGCGACGCCCCAACGTTTTTTGAGGGGAGACCCTCCCTCTGCCCCCCCCCCCCTGTGCCGCCGCCACTGTTCAAGCATATGTTGACACTGACAGTTCTTATACTGGCTGTTCACGCTGTCAATCATTTCATGTTGGTCAATGTATAACTAGAAATTGATAATGATATATGGTATAAATAATGTTAATATTGTTGGATACGTCAAATCTATTTGTTTGATTTTTGTATCATCTTATTTAATTAATACTTTACATTTCAAGAGGGGTCTGCACAATTTGATGTCATAAGAAACATTAAACAATGATAATGATCACACAAGATTTCTAAATTATATTATAGTTTGTATCCCAAATATTATTTTTAAGCTTAAAGTATGCAATTGACAGGGAAATTTTTATGTTTCATAGAAACTTTATTATAATCTGGTTGGCAATCCTTAATTTTGTCAAAATGTCAAAAAGTATACTTGAGTGCAACCGTTAGCAATCAAAAAGTCAAAGGTCAAAGTCACACCTTGTAACTTGTCACACATGTTCCTCATGCAAGTCACAATACTTGTTCAGTATAAAAAAAACACTTGGCCCACAATTTTCCAGTACAACTAGCATGACCTAGCTACAATTTAGGGTCAAATGTCAAGGTGATATTATTAGTTTATGTATTTTTTCCAATATAACTACAAGAAGGGGAAATGATCATTGCCTTCATACTTGGCACACATATCCCTCAATGTGTTCCTTATACTTTGTTACATTTCATCAAGGTCAAGTTTGCACTATATGTGTATGGATGTTCTCATTACAAAGATCAAAATTTCAGAATATATATTATTTATTATTATTTATTTATTTCAGACTGAGTCCATAAAAAATAACTTACAAAACAATAAAAGAAAGGGAAATAGAGTAATATTACAGCCAGTTTTTGCTATAAACTCAAAAATTCAAATTATTCCAGTACTGCACCAACAGTGACTTCCAAGGTCTTCCACTATTAAAGTCTTCCACTATTAAAGTCACAAGTGACTTCCACTATTAAATATTACAGAGACAATGCCATTAGTAGAGGTATAAACACATTCAATAAATAACGATACTAGCTTTCTATTAAGACAAGGGAGTGTTTGTATTCAGTTCACAACACAACACAACACAACACAACACAACACAACACAAACACAACACAAAGTTTGCGTAGGCCTTTGACATTATTAAATTATTAACAATGTTAGTAACAACCTGGCAACCACATACAAGCTTATTTAATTCACGATCTAAGTCATCTACATAAAGGTTGAACAGGACCGGGGACATAGCCTTGTCGAACTCCATTGGTAACCTCAAAGAACCGCGACAGGTTGTTACCCCATAACACAGTAATGTTGGTGCCAATACTAGTTCACTAACAGCCTAGTAATGTATGGGGGAATTTTACGAATATAAACACAATTTAACTACCTAGAAACATAGCCACTTATTTTCCTTGTTTGACCACAGACACTAAATACAATAAAAACTAGACACAAACTGATTTCATGTACATTTTTACAATACAGTGATCTGTTGTTGGTTAACACGTAGATGTAGTTACCGAACCGAATCTTTATGTATGGGTATATTCAGTAAAACACGCATGCGCATTAACAAATGTACTGACCCATACCGAGTTAACAAATATTGTGATTTATATTAGTATTGTTGTGGCGTTATTTGATACTGTCTATGTGCTGGGGATGTGAGACCCCTAATCGCATCATTTGGCAGGAATTCAATCCTAGACAAAAATAGATTGTTTGTTCAAGTAGTACTAGTAAATTCCTAGTAACCCTGTGTATTGGTGTTTGTCTGCAATATGCCTTGACCTACAGACAGTATATATTTTTTTGAAGAAATCTGCCATAGTAAATTTGTAATTCCTAATCAACGTGTATAAATTGAACGTTTGTAGCTGCGTAGTTGGTATGCAAATATTTGTCTTTAAAAGAATGGTTGTTTTCCTCAATGTATATGTCTTTCTTATTTCGAAGTAGGCCATTTGAACTCCATTTGAAGTAGAGCTTTCCAGCACACCTCATGCAAAGTAGGCAGCCGTTTACACTGATTTGACCGACAGCTTTAATAGTTTCGGTTGAGCCAAGACATTGACAAACGGTCACACCCAATCTAGATGAATTTATTTTCCGCCAGACATTGTCAATGCTTTGCATTGTCTATTGATGTTTTCACATGAAATTAAATAGCGTGATATTGTCTTGGTATTATTGATGAAAAGCGGATAGTTAAAATATATTTTGTCGATATCTTGATAAAGAACATTTTACAGTTGATTTTCGTAACAATAAACAAAAAAGCAAACGTATCAATATCTTGTATGCATTGTGGGTTTACGTACAGGTTAACTCGTATTTTCAGTATTTCATCAAACAAACATTGCTAGGATAAATAAAGGATTGTCAAGATAAATCATACACTGATGTTTATATTGAGATCAAAGCGACAATACATAAATATTAATCAAAAATACTTTCCAGATTGCCTGAACGGCAAGTTCTTTTCCCATTAAAACTGGACACAAGAGTGAGAGGACCACCGTTACACAATCACTTGCCATACTACCATACAACAGAAACAATTCTGCTTTGTTGAAGAGGATAATGCGTTATGGCATGACCCTTCACTGACACTCGTGACCTCATACAGTGTACAGGTTTATGAGGCTCTACCTGAATACGGGCTTCATAGAAATAGCTTTATATACCCTATTGTTAGCATTGTTGTGCGTAGAATCTTGTCAACCGTCACGAACCAGTTAAACTAACTGAAGATTTTATTTTGTTTTTGAAATTTCAGAAAAGTTATTCCTCATATATATCATAATAATACACGCTAACATTAAGTCTTCAAAAGTAATAATACATTTATTACTATTCAAAGGGGTCAATTGACATACTTATGGTTAAAACATGGTTGTCATAACAACAAATTACATTTGCAGGGATGCCAAAAGCATGGTACTAGTGGACTACAGAGAATTAAATGTGACTGTCTTGGCATTAAGATATTATAGTAAACAACAGTTTTGATCATAGCTGAAATGAATAGGGGGGAAAGGTTATCTATTGATCAAGATAACTAGACAGACCAGCCATTGACATTACAATTTTTACATGTACTACAAACTTTAAAATCATTGTACTGAAAGATATTGAAAATATATGAAAACGAAATATGCAGGAAGTAACGTCCAGTATGCACAAATATATAATTACACGTGAAAAATTTAATTAAATTAATTGGACATGACAAATTACTCAATAAATAATGAATAAATCAAATTAATTGGTTTATTTGATTGCATTGATCACTGAATAAAATGTTTAAAAGGCAATGGGAAAACTCGCAGTTAATCAAAAGTGAAAATACAAAGAAGACCATTTATGAAAGTCAAAAAAGCATATCAATCGACTGTCGTGAATACGGTCAAGGGTCACTTTTTGATGGTCATCGTTGTACTCACTTGATGAATGACCAGAACTGAACACAGTGTAAGTCATCGGTGACAACAACTTTACCGTCATCACTAATTGCTATACACCTAGGGCCATCTACTGCATCGCAAACAATATCAGTTATATATCTACTTCGACTGTCAAACACCTGCACTCTATCGTTGCCATTGTCACATACATAAATATTATCGTTCTTATCAGTAGTAACTCCCATGGGCCAGATGAACTTTTCATATGGACATCCTCTGATTTCAAACATGAATACACCATCAGATGTGAGGGCCTGAACACGATGGTTATCTGAGACTATTATACATCCCTTACTATTGATAGATATGAACGTCGGATGTACAAACTGACATGACCCTTGACCCTTTCCACCAACTGACTTAATATACCTGAAACCTGTTATTTCATATGATCTTATACAATGTGCATCACAGTCTACCACATATACAACACCATTATTATGGTTGATAGCAATTCCACGCGGACACTTTAATTCTCTCCCACCCAAACACGTTATAAAATTCCCATATTGATTACATACAATCACCTGATTATTTCCTTCATGGCCTTCCCATGGCCCATCTGTTATGAAGTATGTATTATCTACTGATACTGCTACATCTATGGGTCTGACTGGTTTACTATATCCTGTAAATTGTAACTGTGACTTTGGTCTGCCATATGTGTCTATAATCTGAACTCTACCATTTCCTTCCTCCGCCACTAAAATATCACCGCTTGTATTAATGCTCACTCCGATAGGTTCATCAAACATCCCTAGTTCCGTGCCTCGCCCCCCTATGATTTTCTCTAATTTCATTGGTGCATTTATAGCGTGTGTTGATTCTTGTTTTTGTTGATCTGAGGGATTGACAGAATCTGCAGCCTGAAGTGTTCCCAGCATGCCTTGCAGTGTAATGTCACCAGGATAAAACTGTGGAAGTGATTTATTTTTATCATTCCATGTTGTATCAAGTGACATCATAGTTTCCAGTTGATTTGTTGTTTCTTTACTAGTTTTCATCAGCTGTGCAGCACTGCTATATTCTAATAAATTATTCATCAACGTTATTGTACTTGTCAGTATTTCCTCAGTTGTTTCATACTGGTGAATTATTCTGTTGATCTCCTCGTTCATTTTGTCATAATCAGTTTTTAATTTACTCAAATGACTGTTTTCTTCCTGTTTTATTATTTTTGTTAATTTCTCAATAGTTTCCTGTGAATGTTGCTTTATTTGTTGTTTTCGATGCAAATGTTGTTTTGTTAATTCTTCTGATTGTTTTGTGGCATTTATTTTGCTTTGTTTTACTTCACTTTGTTTTGCTTTCAAGAGTTTTATGTGATCTGTTGCCATCTTACAGAATCTATCTGCAGCCCCCCGTAAGTCAATGCTTCTATGCCATTTGTGACTCACTCTCAAACACAAAGGACATGTCAGAACTTTACATTTCGCACAATAATTTTCAATAAGTCTGTCTTTGTGTGAAGTGCAGTGAACTGCGGCTAAAGCTATGGATTGGTCTTGTAATTTGGTCTTGTTAAAATCCTGTGCAGTCATAATACGATGAGGTGGACTAATTAATGGTATATTACTGTGGACTTTGGCGCATGTAGTACACAAATCCATAGCACACTCTACACACCTGTTTGTCGATGGGTTTTCTTGACAACCATGGCACGCTCCACCATCTTGGCGTCTTTCCTGTTCTTCAATAATGTCTATCACAGAATTTATTATCGTACTTGGTCGAAGGTATTGAATGGTACTCACGGAATGACACTGTCTGCAGTTGGGGCATTCAATCGTGTCCTGCGTCCCCTTCAACTGCGCCAAACACTGTTCACAGAAGGAATGGTGACATGGTAAAATCTTTGGATTCTTGTAACGTTTCAAACAAACAGGACATGTCAGTAGATCTTCGTCAATCTTATAGACGTTAGCAGTCATTGTTTGCAGTGCGTAATTCAGAAACGAGTCGAGCGGCGTTACGTTATTATAGCTAATAAACCAGCTCAACGCGGAAACTGTCTAAGGTCAACAAGGTCGTTGTGCCTATACTTCCTCTTTGCCTGGACGGCGAAGAGGGCGATTGACAAGTCAAATGATGCAAACGTTTCGTCTGGTTATATAACAGTCTCTAAAAGTTACTAAGCATGCTACTATAACAGCCTATCCCCGGGCGGACATCCGGGTATTTTCACCGCCTGGCGACCATCGCGGTGAATACAGAGGCCAAAAACGCCCAGAAAACTGTACTTTGGGATAGATGTTGAGACCCTCCTGTACATTGTAACAAGATTACTCCCTGCATATGCAACATACATAAATTTGATTGCTCAGGATTATTTCAAAATAGATTTTGTATTGTTTCATCGACTTTATAAGTTTTTAGCGGCTCTTCGACCGATGTTCAACCGCAGCTAGCGCAGAGCCCATAGAAATACATGGTACAGCAGAGGCGGCGGCACGCGATTTTGCCCATGGGCGAGATCTTCTCGCCATCCTTTGCCCCAAAGGCGCAATTGGTCGCCCCCTGGTGCCGCCGTCACTGTACAGTGGTGTGCGCCTTAGCAACATAGAACGTTCTGTGACGTAGCTCTCCGCCCCGAGGATACATCACCCGGAAGCTTCGATATACGCGTATACGGTGGGGCAAATGCTGTGTTAATAGTATGGCAGTTGCTCATATTTTTTTCCGTGAAAACGTGTGATATATGAAATTTGTATTAAACATGAAATATGGACAAATACATATTTTCATTTTTTGTTTGTTACTACATGTCGATGATCGAATTACAGTAATGGGCTGTGGTCGTTATAAACGTTTTTAATTATTTATTTTTATAAATCAAAATGGATGTTATGATTGAAACCGACCAATCTAAAAACGGTATCATTGGGACATCCAGGTTAGTTCCAGTTAATTATTAATAAGATAGTTTAATATTATCTAATCAGCATGCGCCTCTATTTTAAATTTATGTGGGCGGTCGCAGTTGCTATGTCACGTGAAGGCATACGTGCGCATTATTGGTATTATATAGGCACGCTGTGTCGTCACAGGAAGCGCCCTCTCAGCACAGACCTGTGTTATATGACGCCTTACTAATAAGTAAAATAGCGCTCCGCGCCACTTTAGACTAATGTTCATAAACGGAACTTAATACTTCTGTTTTCAATTTGCTTTTACTTACATAATTAGTTTAATTTTATTAAAATATTGTATTAATGAGTGAAATATTAATGTCATACATAATTCAATCTTTGACATAACACATAATAAAATTGTTTTGAAAATGTTTCGCCTAATTTCAGGTTTCAACTAGTTTTAAATTGAACATCCTTGAACGTGATAAAATCCCGCGTAGAACGTCTTTATAACCATGAACTAAAAGTATGAATTGATTGCACAGTCACGCAATTTTAGGGCCAGTTTATTTCTACAATATTTACATTTATTATTATTCAGTAAAGAACTCATTGGAACAATTTATTGTATCCATAAAATACGAATACCAACAGACAACTGATTTTAAAAAGTTTGCTATTACGCACAAACTCCCGGCACTCCTTGCGCAATATGTGTTAGATTGTTGTATAGAGGGCACCGACCTGCGGCGTCAATTAAAGGCGTAGATTACGTGTTCTTGACAACCAGCGAATGACTAATGAATATTTGAATTCGAGTGAAAACTGGTTATCGGCTTTTACATTTTTTTTTATAAATACGCTTGTAAGAAAGGTCCAGCTTTGTGCCTTTCATTGTATGATTATCATAAACTCACAGAATAGTATCCCTTGGATTATCATAAACTCACAGAATAGTATCCCTTGAATTATCATAAACTCACATAATAGTATCCCTTGAATTATCATAAACTCACAGAATAGTATCCCTTGAATTATCATAAACTCACAGAATAGTATCCCTTGAATTATCATAAACTCACAGAATAGTATCTCTTGGATAAAAAAAATGAAATGGATAGTGATTGCTATTGTACGTACGTAAAACAAAAAACGCAATACGTATCAAAATACAATTATTCCATCAAATCAATGTTTCGATGTTTTTCGATGTATTCATTGGCATACAGTATCAAGTAACAATGTTAACAATTACACATGATATTGAATCCTTGACGAGTTCCTAAAATATGAGTTGTGCTTAATGTTAATACGGGCAGTAATTATTCAACATCTTTTTTGTTCTGATATCAATAATTTCACAGTCACGGGGAACAAGGCGATGTTGAATGCAGATTGGTCTATTTTGTCTGTCGTCGAATAATCATCGACGGGAATCAGTTGCAGGGCGAATTAAAAGAAAAAAAGTACTTTGCATCCGTCAACATTGCTCAGATCAAACTCAATTTGAAAAAGCCAACAACCAGTTTGGTGTATATGCTTTAATTAAAACGTATTCTTTGCTGACATTTTTCAAAGTGTTTGTATGAGTTGATGCGACGTGGTGATACTCGTGTCAGCTTGTCCACAAATCTCAGACAATACCGGGTTACGTAACAATAAACACCAAATGGCGTAGATATTACGTAAACATAAAAAACAAATGACGCAGAGATAATAACATGGAATTGAATGCGATCGAATGACCACGTGACTTGTTGTTTCACGCGTGATCCATTTATTGGCATAAAATAAAATAAATACAATTGTTACTTCATCGGCATAGTCGAACAGGAGCGACCGATATCCACAGCCGCATTCAGTGCGACTGGACACCTAACGGAAATGAGAACGCAATTTGCTGTCAGTTTATTTTTAGTACAGTTACTATGTATCAATTGCCAAATGGAAGGTAAGAAAATGAATATTTACGATTTGTTTTCGCAGTTATGTCACAATCACTGTTACGAATATTGCAAACTGTTCATTTAGTCTTACTTACGGCGCAAATTAAAAATTGTGACACGCTCGTGGTGCTGAGAACAATGGTGTTGGTTGGTCTACTGTCACACAACTCGGTACAAAGACAACGATGTTTTATTTGATTATAACTAAAATGGCATAAATAAAAACCATTTCCAAAAAAAAAAATGTTACCATTGTTATCGACAATATGTGTGTGTGTGATTTCACATCTGCCGATAATCGTCGTGTATTACATTATACAAATGACTCGCGCTAAAATAAATTTCAAATAAATATTTGAATAATATTTTTTGGGGTTCTGAAATTAACAAAAACCCAGCACGTTTGAACGATTTATAAAAAAAATAGTATAAAAAATACTTTCAACTTGACTGATTAGTAATCACAATATAAATGTATAATTCTATGTCAATGACGAAGAGGTGTGCAGACACACTTATTGAATAAAAAATGTATTTGTACAAAAAACCTGCTTTTTTATTTTCAATTGTAAGAAATCATTAGTTTATCATGATTTAGTATCAAGTACGATTATTAAATCGTGCCACCAAAGTACGAAAATGTATTCAAATACTAACTCCACTCTATCTTGATTCATAAGTTCATTGAACTTCGTTCTTTGGTTTGGCCATTTAAGTGAATGCTTTCTTATTTACAGAATCATCGAAAGCTACGAATATAGCTATCGGCAAACCGACAGAACAGAGCTCCACTGATTGGCATGCCGAGTCAAGAAAAGCTGTGGACGGGGATTCGGACGGCGAATTTTGCCATGGGTCATGTACGCTTACAAAGATCGAGTTCGACCCTTGGTGGAAAACAAACCTGCTCAAGTCGAGGAGTGTGTATTCAATATCGCTGAAAAACAGAGAAGACTGTTGTTGTAAGTAAACGCTGAGTGCATATATGTGTATATTTTGAATTGGTTGACGTGTTCGCTTCAGTTATTTTGATGTCTAAGCGCTAAGAGAACGTAGCTTTTAGTAATCTGAGCTCGGGGTATACTAGTAAATGTATTAAGCAAAAACAAAAGTATTGTGAATTGTGTATGCTATAAACTTTTGTTCTGGTAGCGCTCCCCACACGAGTCATATTTCGACCACTATTATGTATCAATAGTTGCTCTAATATCAGGGGGAAATCTTCTTTCTCTCGGGTTCTCCACACTTGTCAGGGGGAAACTCGTCTCGTCTCTCTATCTCGTCCCCTTGAGGTACGGGATCGGGAAAGTCACTTATACTTTACAGTCAAATAAGACGCACACAACGAAATACGTTTCAGCTCTCGTCTTAGTCGATCAATCGAGCACACTATAAGACACAGCGCCCTGGGGAAAAAATCCCCAAGACTCTCGCAAGGCTGACCCAAGACTCGCCCAAGACTGGACTGCCTCAAGGCTCGCCCCTGGACTCTCTCGGACTGCGTCTGTCGTGGAGTATTCGCCAAGACCAACTCAAACTCTCTTTATTCATTTTCAAAACTCTAACCAATTACAAAACAGTAAAAGACTCTAGGGCGTAACCTTCAATCATAAAGCCAATCACACTAAGTACTGAATA